TGCTTTTGTACTCGGTTTGATTTTTTTTCCGAACGGACGACAGTAAGGCTTGGCTGTACTAAGCCGACGGCCAACGGTAGTACTATTCTTCTTTTCTTGAAAAACATTTTCAATAACTTGAAGGCCGAGAAAATTAATTACATATTTTAATAATGACACTTTTTAAATATTTTTTAATTTCGATTCAAAGTATGGATCTCACCTTTCGCTGCAACATTCCGCGATTTTCGATGTTGTCTGATCGAACCGTGCCTGAAAAGTACAGCGACATATCCATCAAATTCGAAAACTATTAGTAGCTTAGCTTTGCTTAATCACACTGATTGCCATTGCAAACTGCCTTACTGATTCAAAAGTAAGTCCGCTTGTACTCCTGCTTACTTTTATTAAATATAATTGAGGATTTGAGCTCATTTTCTAAAGATGTTGCAAGTTAAGAATAGATATTAGTTTACACGTATGAAATGAGCTCAACAAGTCAATATAATTTGATAAAATTCGTATGCATTTCAAGTGACCTCGTATCTCGCTCAGTGGTTTCGGAACAAAAACTTGCTAAGGTCATAAAAAATAGAGTGGAAAAATCACTTCTTAAACACTTTGGCCACTTTTTTGCACTTATTAATAAATGCGCTATGAGTACTGGCAGTTTCATTTTCCGATATCAGTTCCGGTTTCGTTTCGTCTGCTGGTTTCGCATCTTCCAGTATTGCAGAAGAGATAACGCTTTTGATCTTGATCAGTGACTGTTTAGCCGAGGGCACAACATTTTTCAGCTTTTCTATTTTCAACTTTGCAGCGGTCACTAATTTTCGCTTCTCATTAGATTCTTCGCCATCAGATTTTGCTTTCTTAAGTTCATCTTCACTCTTTTCACTGCTCTTCGAGTCACACTGGTCACTCATACGACACTTTTACGTATTTTCGCCTTCTACGACTCGACCGACCACTTTCGGAAGGTTATTATTGTTGTAATAAGCTAATCTTCACTCATAATGTCACTTATTAACTTCATACTTTTAAATGTGTTAATTTACATACTTAAACTTGGTAATTTACATGCTTTTCTCTTACTTTCTTCTTCATTTTTTGTTATTTTTTATCACTTCGCCCACTTCTTTTCATTGTTTCTGACATGCATGTACTCGATTACTCATTAATTGTAACTTAATTTTTGTTGTGAAAAATCCTAAAAGGAAATCCTTCAAGAAAACTTGAATAAATTATTATGGAATGTAAGTTTCTACAAGTGGGAGTATCTTGTATTGCAATTTATGCTCAAATATTATTCATTATGCATAACAGAACTCTGCTTGGCTGTTTCTTTAATAGCTGAATATCCGACTATATTTAATCTTGAATATATTAATACTAACTATTTTTAATATTTTCTATTTTCCGATTTCAAGATTTTTTAAAATTGTAAAACTAACATCATTTTCTCTAT